TTCAACTTCGATTGAAACTCCGGAGATCGATGTTCATTCGAATACAACACTTATGAAATCGATATTGTAAAGTATTTTCTTGAAGGCTGATGGTCAACCGAAATTCGAAGTGATTCACAATACTACGCAAGCAAACAGCCGGTTTCCGTCCAGTAAGTGCTCCCTTCTAGTAAGCATTTGCCCGCAGAAAGCTATGGACCTGGCGAAAGGACTGACTAACGAGCAACGTTCACGCGCAAAGGAACAAAAAGAAGAATAAGAAAAAATAACGGCGCAGTGCCGCAATATTACAAGCGAAACAGTTATGACCACCAATTAATTTACGTTGTCTGCGAAAAATCAAGATGCCAAGATAGAATAAGAAGCGCAGCTTACACGTCATAAAAGACCGGGCATCCATGCGGAGTCAACATCTATCGGGTTGAAGTATCCGCCTAAGTGTTTTTGTAGTTGATTGCTGTATCAAAATAACGGCTCGTATATTTATACTGAGAACCTACATTAGAACATCTTGATTACAGTCTCCAGTATCACAACAAATGAAGAGCTATTGGGAACTCTTGATGGCATTTATTTATAAAAAAAGCTATGAAGAAATATTTCTACGCCTATAGCGTAAAGCGTAGCTCATACAGGACACTAGGGGAGTAACCTTCCTCATATTTATTTGAATAAAATAGTTGCCCAAATGCTATATGAAAACGTGTTTTTATGACGCCTCAATAGAAACACTATGCTAGATTTGTGAAGTCAGAGGTGTAAATTATATTCTTTTATGATCAATATAGTTCAAAGAATCTCTCCAGTCATTGCGCTGAACGCTTGTGTTCTCCAAGCGTTTCTACTTGGATTGTATTGATAGTTATTTGGGGCCGTCCCAGCAAAGGCAAGATCAAGAAGCCGTACTTCCCTTTGGCACTACAAGATGGAAGGGATTCGCATCTTTTAACTTTAATAGTAAAAAATACCTTTTGAAGTATTTCATGTTGCCAATATATACAAAGTATGATAATATTATGCCTTCTTTTCAAGATATATCTCACAACTTTTTTTTAGTTTACCTTACCAGTACACTGCCTAAATGTGAAAAAGTATTGAGGATCGCATGGGGTATCGAAAAACGCCAATTCCTTTCCTTCCATCCTTCTAGTTTTCATGAACATGCTGATTAGTGGCCAACTTGATGTGCCAAAATTTCAAATCACTTGGATATATTGTTGATAATTATCATGCGTTCTTAGGGATACGCCAATCGATAATGTCCCAAAAGGGCATTGCTTCCGAGAATATACAAAGTCCCTTCGCTAACTATAAAAATATACCATAAATATTCTAAAACATACTCGTCTGGTGATCCAATACATAGCGCATACATATACAAAAATTAAACACGTTCTACCAGAGGTACTTCGTTTTTCTATTACGTGCCATTTTAATCCTCCAATAAAACACAAAAATTCTAATATTTCCGCATAATAATTTTACTTTTATCCGACTAATCGCGAAGAAAAAGCTATACTAATTAAAATATTGTTACCATGTAGGGTAAAGATTAATATCTGATACCAGTGAAAGTAAAGATTATCTAGCTCGAGTTTTGAAGCGTCGAGTTTAAAAACGGTTTTATTCCCTTTAGCTTTAAGGAATGTTGAATTAAAAGGCCTTTAAGCAGCAAAAGAAAGTAAAGAACTCAGATTTATTTTTACGTTCATTTTGATTCTTCAGCAACCACAGAAACAAAAAACCAAATAATTTGAGACAAGCTTTTGTTACCCAGCCATGGCAGAAACATGGCTCTCCAAAACTATTCAAATTGTTGAATGCACGTAAAGTGTAGCCTTGCATTTTGTGAAGATGTATTCAACGATTCGTTACAAGATCTTTCTCAGTTTTAATACGCAAAATCTTACTGGAAGAGAATCTGCTTTGTACACGCCCCAGAAAGTTAATAAATTTAGTTCCGATGTAAAACATAAATAATAGAGGCGCATATTTATTATATACTGAAAATATTATAACGGAAATGTGTACGTTAGGCTAGTGAGATTAGGAATTCATTCCAAGGTCAGGCTCCTCCGGTACTTGAAAAAAAAGGCAGGAGGAACGCAAAAACAGAAAAAGAATCAGAAAGAAAAATGTCAAGCCATCTTCGCGAGGCCCTCTAAAATAAAACCGATAACCTTACAGTTATGAGATACGGAAGGGCATCCACAAAAAAATCTTTCGCTTCTTAAGGTCTTATATTGTGTTGCGTGCTTCGAGTGACTTGTCGCAAAATATTCTTGGAAATGAATGCACGCAAGTTACGCTCTCATAATACACGCGTAACATAATATTTTAGGTATATCTTTATATAAGAGAGTTGTATGTCCGCAATGTTTATACCTAAAGTACAAGGTTAACTTAAGTTTAAGCACACCTCAAGCTCGATCCAAGGGGTACTGCTGAATGTGGGAATCCTTTCTTTCAAAATTTCTAGAAGTCGTACGTTCAGATTGCGAATGAGCCCATAATCCGCACAGAACAAGGCTCTGCCCAGACGTCCCGCGAAGCATAGCTATGACCCTTGGAGTGGCCCCGGAGGGCCCTTTAATCGCCATATCAGTGTTAAAGTTCAGCTAGAAATCATGTGAGTGCAAAAGCCTCGGTTCCATGACCAGCCAAATACCTTGGTAGACCTTTAAGCCGGGGTCACATTGCTTATACTATCACACAAAAAAACGGTCTGCATACAGATTTGAACGCGAGCTACCGCAAGATCCGTGTTTCGAATGCAGCATGGAAATGCTGCATTCGAAGCGAGTTCAAGGAGAAAACTTGGCACGCGGCATTCGTCCGACGGATATTGCGCTGACTTGTGTTGGCAGTCTTTATTTTCGCATGATGTATGAGCTGTGTGACACCGGCTTCAGTTGACTCAAAGTGTGAATGTTAAAGAACTTTTCTTATGCTCAGTAGCGAAGGTATCTAACATTTTTTTTTAATTAACCACCACGTGATTGTTTCACTTACAGGGGCGACCACTCCAATCATGGAACAATTTATCTGCCGCTAGAATTTATCAAACACGGGAGCTGCATCTATAGTACAGTTCCCTGCGAATGTGTATTGTCCACAGGCCTTTCAAATCCAATTGACCACCGAATAAATTTGCAGACTTCACTTCAAATTTTCAGGGGAAATGCCTAGAGAATTGACAATGGCGAGTGATATAGTTTGTGAATTAAAAAAAAAACGTTTTCACAAAGCAATGCGGTGTTAAACACTGGAATGTTCTTGTTTTTTGTTTTTTTTAAATTTATGATGAATGTCAGCACTTCCCATTCTGTTTCTCATTTTATGCGTTCCTCCTGAGTATGTGTGTGCGTGTGATTGACTGCTGGATAACCCGCACTAGTAAATTTGTAGGAAGCAGAGGCTTCGTCAGGTATCCCGGGATTTTGCTTCTACCTCTCTTCCACATCAATGTTCAAAAATATTTTGATGCATTTTAAACAGATGCTCGTGATGGAACACATTTGAGCGGAAAAGGTACTGGCGTCTCCCAGTTCATTCTGCTGCATCACTCTGCCATATGCTTTTAAAAAAATTTTATCATCACACTAGATGGCGCAGCGATGAGTGTCGCGACTTGATTCAAATGCCCGCGGTGCGACTTAAAAGTTTAATACGTACGACACGTTACGACCATCGTGGTGGCCACCTGGTCAATGATTTACGGGCAAGGTGAGTCAGTTGAAAAATAATAGTCAGGACAAAAAATTATGTTGAGATTTATGCCTGCTTTGACCCTTCTCTCGCTGCTGTTCGCCAGTCTCGTGTTCACCATAAAAACAATTTTGATAAGGTCATCAGCACTGAAGCTAAACTTTATTTAAAAGCCGCATTTCTTGCCCGGTCAAGCTGGACAATCTGCACTAAACATTGAAAAAATGTCGACCTGACATGTTACATGGCTGACTGCGGTAGCAATAACAAACAATCGGCGGCAGTTTCGTACGTTCAGTGCCACATAAGAGGTACTCCCAAAGACACTTTGCGAAAAGCCAGGATCCGATTCAGAAAGAGCGCTTTCCGCACCAGTGTGTTTCATCCGAGTTTTCAGAGTGCCCAAAATGTCGTGCTCGAGAGTACGAATTGGCCCCCGTTCGTGAGCTACCGCTAACAAAGTCCCCTCAGATACTCGATGCGCCATGTATGGATGCAACGTCAGTTATAGAGAAAGTTCGGTCCACGGAAGGATCAGGGGGGTAGCCAAAGCATTGGTGGGGCTGACTACCCTATTTTCACAGCCGTATATAGTCTTAACTACATGTAAACAAAACATCTGATTACCCTTAACAGGGCACCCCCCCCCCCTTTCCCCAAAAAACATAAATAAATAAAAAAAAAAAAGAAGTGCTGTTCGAAAAGCAAAAATTGCGTGAAAAGGGCGTTTAAAGCCCAAGCCTCGAGCCAACCAGCAGGCGAAAGCTGCGCTCGTTTATTCTACAATTGATAACACCAGTGACCCGACCATCACGTGCGCCATCTTTTGGTTATTGAGAGTTTTAAAATTCGCTTTCAACGACATAAAAATCAGGGAGTTTCGCAATACGGGACCCCAACGCTTTGGGTCCTCCTTGAAGCTTAGGGTGCAGAAATGCAGAGAAGTCCTGTGCATACTCAGTGCAACCCCCTAGCAGCTTGGGGGAGCATTGGAACCCACTATCCTAAAACCCCTTGTTAAATGATACAGTGGAGGGCTTAAATAGCTCGCCCTACTCTTGCCAAAGGTTTATTTGCAGCTTGTCGGTAATGAGATGTGTCTTTCAAAACACCCGACCGGCACTTCGCAAATGGCGCTCCCTTATTCGCGTGCTGGTGATCCCATTGGATGGCCAAGCTCTTTCCAAACACGGCCCAGAGCGGAAGTTGTTAACAGCGCCCTCTACAGGCAGCGCGTCCGTCCTCCGGCGGCGTTCAGCCCTTGCTCGACCACCGCGCACTGGGATGCTCACCTTCCGAAGAGGTCCTTGAGCTCCTGCTCGGAGACGAACTGGCCCAGGTTTGCGACGAACAGGGTGGAGCAAGGCGGAGTGGCGGCCGTCGACGAGGTCGAGCCCACGGGCGAGGCTAGCGCGGGGCTGGCCACCAGGTGGGGCGGCGGAATGGTGGCGTGCATGGCTGCGGCGCTCCCGGCTAGCGCGGCGTGGGACAGCGGGTGAGGAACCGTCAGCGGAGGCTGCGAACCCATCCACCACGGGTCACCGACCGTCCGCGCCCCTGACTGCGTCGAGAGCGAAGCACCTTGGCCTGAGTTCACGCGCACAACGTCACACTGCGCGGCAACACACAAAGGCGTGGCGTGACACCACACTGCGCGTGCACGCTCGCTAGAGACCCTTAGACTCTCGGCAAGACCGATGCTTACGCCCATAGCCGGAGACGACAAAAGCGTTTGAGTTTGTTATTGTATAATGTATTTTCTTTTGCCGTTATGGTTACATTTTTGTAACTTTAATATATTTTATGTATTTTATGTACTCCCCCCCCCCCCGTTTTTTTTTTTTTTTTTTTGAGTGTAATTAAAAAAATTGGAGAACCAAACGACAGAGGTTTCCGCTACCGGCTTTTTGCTATTATTCTTCGACAAGCCTGCACGTTCAGAAGCATCCGCATATATCCTGTCCCGCGGTGCTTCTTCAGTTCAGCCAACAAAAAGGACGATGAATAGCTCGGTTCAGACATAAAACACAGTGTTGATACAGCGCTGGAAACAGTGCTGAGTTTAGCACTCATGCAACATTGTTTCGCTATATCTGGCAGTGTTGGCGTTGCAGAGGTAAGTAGTTTCAGTGGTACCGTCTCAAGTTTTGTACATGATAGGTTTCCAGGGTCTTTTAACTCGGATGACTTGTTCACTCCTGAAAACAGCGTGCTCGATGTTCATACAAAGAACTACGTCGCATGACCACATCTTCTCTTAAATTGTAAACATTTTCTAGGTACCATTCTGCGAAGTAATCTCAGCGCCGAATTCGGACGAAATTAGACTCTTCGCAAAAAGCACTTCTAGCTCCAAGCTTTGGATCCTATAACATTAGTCTCGCTGAGAGCCCCTTTGTTGCCACTCGCACTGCGTAACCATTGGGGCGCGATATCGCGATCCCTTTACATTGGCTGAATTGATTGGCTCATTGGCTAAGGGAATGATTGACTAAGAGAATGCATTGAAGGAGCAATATGCAGGCGATCTCATTTGCAAGTGTGGCTTTCGAGGGAGTAAACAAATTAAAACAAAACACTTATGCTAACTAGGTTGAATCCTCAAGATCGAAAAATTATTAAACAGTCAACTGAAGTGGCATGCACTGCTAGTCTCACTTGACAAGGGAATATTTTGTTAGAGTTAACAAAACGAAACAAAATAGGCAAGAAGATTGCACCGAGCTGGTCAATATTCAACACGAAATATTAAGAGGCCATCTAACACAGGGAGAGAGCTTCCGGTTAGGCAGTACGTGGTGTGCTCATTTGGCAACCTATAGTTGCGGAGACAATAAACGCGACAAGTCATAATTAACATATTTCACACTGATTACATTTTAAGGTTCTACGTGTCAAAAAAACAAATGTATTCTGGCGTGCCTCCGCGAAAAACTGCGGATTGCTTTTTGTTAAGATAAATTTTGGCAAACTTATAAATGTATCAATATAGACATGGTGTTTCTTTCTCAAGTAAAGAGTAGCCTCATGGGAGCAGCAGCATAACGGCCAAGTTCCACTAAATAACTTTTTCTTAATAAATATTTAACCTAAGGATAAAACAAAACAAAAAAGCGAGCCCCACGCAAAATCATTCAATAACTTGAGGCGTTGTGTAGTTGCCTTTTTTTTTACTTTGGAGTTAATTATGAAAGTTGGACACGAGCTCGCCTTCTACGAAGCAGCTGTAATGTGCTCGCAATCTACAAAGTGTGCTAATGTGCTGATGAACACGTCACATCAAAACCTGCAATATGAATTTCCGGAGTATAGCACCGTCAAGCGCGTTTTGTGAATGTGCACATGTAAGGAAGAGACTGAGAGAAAAAAAAAACACTAAACTTAGGCAGCGTTTTTTTGCCGGAGGAAGCCGCTTGCCAGTTGTTCTAGGAGGCTTCAACGGTTGTCAATACCAATGCCAAGCTCTGTTCTAAGCACCATTTAAGTCACTCTAAGAATATGAAATTATTTCAAGGACTCGTACAACTAAATGAAGGGTATAATCTCGTCCTCCGCATTCAGCAGCTCCGTGATACTGAAGGTAAGCATCATGCTGTAGAAAGAAACAACAAAGAAAGAAATGCAAGAGACAAATGGCATTCTCGTAACGCATCCGTGAAGCGCCCGCTGTAAGCAATAATGCTCGCATGCATTCAGGGAAACCTTGCAATACGAAACTTCTACGAGAGTAAACGAGGAACAACATCACTGCCTGATTCACTCGGTACACGATCAAAAAGATTTTTGAACTTTTTTTTTTCATCCAGCTGGGAAATTAGGATTATATATTACATTTCACGCATACTAAACATACTTAGACTTTGAATGGCCGAGTGCATTAGACATTACACAGAACCGTAAAGTAAGGACGCATAACGGTCCCAACAGAGGTAGCGGCAGTAAACTCGCGCTTACCAGCGCCATCTTTGGAAGGCTTGAGTATTCAGCATGCGTCTCCAGAAGCAGAGTTCGTTCATTATTTTTTATGATGTTCTTTCAGAAACCGCCCTCCGCTGATGGTGCACATGTGTGACGGTGCATATATTTCGAATAGCGAAACATCACCTCATGCGAGTTGTGTACATCGACGTCATACATTTAAAACAACAATGGCGCCAGCTTCCGCGTCTATTCTCAAACATGCATTTTCTCGACGATATAACAGGAATCTGCGTACTTCGACGCAGAAAACATGTCCTTTCAGATTCTAATTGAACATTTTTCACGCATAAAAAGCATTTCCAAAATATTATCTTATCGTGCAATGCTGTAATTTGATATCTGCTTTCCAGAAAGCCTGGCGCTGGAAAATGCACCATTAAAGCAAAGACATAACACACTACAATCAAAGACAGCAGCGGTTTGTTTGCTTTCCCCAAGCGCAGCTTCAAAGTCTCCCTGAACTATCTGGACTCTGTGCACACAGCATCCCCTCTACCGTACTGGCGGCAAGGAACGCACCAAAACAAGCACTGTCCCAGCAGAGAGAGAAAAGGTGGATAACCGCGGCGTCACTCACGGGCAACTGAGCATGAAGAGCGGGGTGCATGAGAGCCGCAGTGTGCAGCGTAGTGGTAACGGGCACTTCGGCGTAGGAGAGCGGGTGATGTGGCCAACCATCATGAGCTCCAGGCAGCAGGGCAGCTCCGATCTCTTCTGGAACGTCCCGCACACAGCGCCAACGCATAGCCATCAGCGCGGCCATTTTCATTTTCAGCCAGACACTTTTGCGCGCACTGAGTAAACTGCGAGAAAATACTGACTCAGCAACAGACATTCTTTACACGCTCTCAGAAGTTTCTGGGTGAACACTGCAGAGCAACGTACGTTTGGTGACCTTGGAAACCTAATCATCGGTCTTCTTTAGGACGTATACTCCACTGGCCATGCAGTCCTGGTAGCACAGATTATGAACGCCCATTTTCCACTCAGTCTAAGCGCCCATTGGGGATGTGATGCAACCAGGCCTTATCATTGCGTAGAATGTTTAAAAGAATGCCATTGATTGGCGTTTCCAGTGAATCTCGGCGGCGGTAGCCATACATAATCTTCTGAGAGTGTAGTGAATAGGCCATATACCGGTTGCGACATATAGATCTTTTCATCAATTATCACCCGGGCGAAAAATGACGAGTCACTGAGCTTTGGACGCATGCGCAGCGTCTGATATACCGCACAGCAGAGCTGCAGCGCATGGTCAAAAGGCGTTGCACAGCCCAGCAGACAGAGGTGACAGCGCGCAGAAGGCGATTTTTGGAAAGGTCTATATAAAGGGAAACCTCTGTTACGTATGTACCTCCCGAATTTGAAGGTTTCTCGATGAGCACTGATGTAAAACGAGAACACTGTAACCTGGAGTCTTCCTCGAATTCGGGCGGCTCAGAATAATATCCTGAGTCTGAGAGTACCACAGGTTTAAATGTAGACCTAAACACTGCGCCTGCGTTCTCACACACAAAAAAGAAACTAATAATCAAATTAAGAAAAATTTCGTTTAACTCACAGGCGAAATGTACACAGCAACCTTGTCATAGTACGAACTCTCCCGTTATTGCATCGTTAAGCCCTCTTAATCATCATCAATATCAACATATCAATTAATTATAGACAGATTCTTTGTCCCATTCCATTGTAATTCTATAGATAAGCCCTTAAAAAAGTCAGATTTAAAAAAAAAACTAACAGAATCATGAAGCATGTACGAGACGCAGCTAGACGAAAGAGGAACGTCCCGACGACACTCAATAAAAAAGTATGCATGCAGCTCTCCATACAATGTAAGCTTCTGAATCGCTATATCACTGTGTGGTGTAGCTTGTGTTGAACCCATACCAACCCAAATTATTATTTTTTTTATAATGGTGTACTTGTATTTATTATTCTAAATATACAATCAAAAACGTTTTCAGTTTAAAAATAATCTTTAAAAAGAAGGATGTGTGTTTTATTTTTAATTTTGAACCCGCGCCTATTGTTCTGAACTTGAACGTATATGTAACACCTGTTTTAATGATGTAAATCTAAATAAGGTTTTTCCACACGTGACCACTGGCTTTAAATACATCAATATTATTTGTGCATTTTGTTACAATTTTTTTTTCGCCGAAAAGGTTTGATTTAACATGGCGACAATTCTACAGGCTTGAGTCTCTACCAGCTTGCAGACTACAAATGTTCTTGCTCTCTAAAAGTATATATTATGCTCTGCGATTCTCTGATTCTGACATAGGTACCTTTTTTTATAAAATTTGCCCACTAAACAACTACTACCAAACCTAATTTTTTACCGTAGGGTATGGGGCGTGAAAATGTTTCGGGAAGGAAAGTGTGGTCATTGAAGGGTGCTTGTGTGTTATCAGGCGTGATACCTGCGACGTAGTTGCATCGTCGTGTAGTGTAAATAAAGTGAATTGTGCAGGGCATGATATTAATAACACCTGACAATATTTTGCTAAAAAAGGAAAGCCTCTTGCTCCAATAACTCTTTTTTGGGGGTTATGCTTCATTTCGCTAAAAGTTCAAGAACTATGCACTAATCGACATAACTAATACTAAAATGTTGAAAAATAAGTACTTATTAGTATATACAAATGAAATAGAAACGGTTAACTGTGTCAAAAACAGAAACGCCACTACAAAGTGACACATCAAATTTGTGGCAGCCCACGTGTGCAGAAATATATTTGCGATGCAAGAGTCTTTTATCGTGTGCAAGCCCAGATGTGCCATTCCTGCCCGTGCGCCAGAGCAGTGTAAAGCGGACAGATGTAGAATGACGAATTCCAAAATATTTTATCGGACAGACAGGATGATTCAATAAGCGTAGATGCAAGTCACGGCAATACGGACTTTGAGGACACTGAGCAGTAAACATGTTTCTAGAACAGTCTTGACGTTCGGTATGCATATCCTGTGCGGCAGTTTTTCGATTCAGTTCAATTCAACTATTTCATTTATTGTGCTCATGGAGAGTTAAGGCTTTGGTAATGATGCGCTGAAAAAATGACATTAGAGTGGTCACTAGCAGTGGACACTTTGAAGTACTGCGAGACAATGTGTCAGCATTCCATCCATTCGTGTCGTTGTACAAGCGATGCAAAACCGTAATTATACAGTCTAAGCCAATAACAAAACATATGGTAGCACCTTAATGGCGCTCGAGCTGATGTGAAATTAGTGCAGTCAATTAAGGTATTTGGACACTTCTACATAAATATCTACAATATTTGTGACTTCGTGCTCGTAGTATAAAACATAAAAGAAAAGCAAAAAGCCATTCAAAATATATCCTCGGTTTTATTTATCATTTACATTTTTTTTTTATTTGGCAAAAGAAAAAAAAACTATAATTTTGTGTTAACAAAATTTAACTAAGGATTTGATCATTTGAAAAAAATTTACATCACACTAAATACATCGTGTTGTAAACGTGGCGCTTTTTATGCATTTCGACCGTTTCGTTTCTCGAAGTATACTTTGAAAGAATGAATATAAACGCTATAAAAAAATCTTAAAAAAACATGCATGTTTATTTTATTTTTTATACTGAATTACACTGTATTAATAATAAAAAAAGTGATATCCGTACATTTTACTGCTGCGGTAATACTTAAAGTCCATACTGCCGTGCCCTGCACATACACTTCCAAAGGAACAAGCACAAGCGTTGCACCAGCGGTGGTTGCACATCTTTCTTTTGTTGCTTGATATGCACGATGTCCTAAACATCACGTGCAAGGAGAATAATATTCGCTTTATAACTTTCGCAATGCCAATTCAGTGAATTTCTATCCAAAGTTGTTGTGCAGTTTCTTTGGTGGTGCACAGACACAAGACAATTGAAGAACAAAGAACGGATAGACTCTGCAGTGATAGCACACATTCGGGAGACAAGTTGTTGACTCGAAACGTCGCAATCGCACTCTGAGCTGTCAAATAGGTGCAAAATGCTGGCTACTATTCACAACGACACAACCTAGATATCTTAAACATCTTAAAATTATTATCCAGTTAAGGCAGCTGCTGGATTCGAAATGCAAGAATACTGTTTCTCGATGTAGATGAGAGGTATCTCGTTGCCGCGTAATTAATCAACAATGCGGCCACTCACGTAGCATTCAATACATGATAATTTTGCAAGTGTGTGGCCAGTGAAGATTGCAAATTCCTCGCGAAAGTTTCAAGTTTATCATAAAAATTCATGCTAGAAAGTTACGGGACGCTAAATTCAGCCTGATATGTCAAAACATTGCATTTTTCGGGCCACCTACACTTTCACTTATTTGTTACGTGGTATTACATTGTATTGAGAGATTACATTGAATTACATAGCACGTTATGGCGTATTGGGCGCAGTTTTGAGTCAACAATTTCTCGCCCTATATATGCACCTGGGAAGAGGAAAGTGATACATAACGTCATGAACAGGTTCCGGGTAAGGAGATAGACAAAGGACACCACCTCGTTAAGTAATATACATAAAGCAGCTCAGTCCCATATGCTCGAGACTCGCTCATGTTTCAGTCTCTTACCACTCTCAGAAGCACTTCCATACACACATCCCTACAATAAATTCGGAGCCCTATTCATTGCACTTTCCTTAACCAATTTGTCCAATGTGAAAGGCAAGCCACACTGTCCGAACATCGTCCCTTCCCTTTTCCACTAAAATGGTGCATGCTACAGAGTAATTCGTCAACTGATCAAAGAAAGACGAACTTGGTGCTCCCAGCGCAATGAGGGGTGCAATAGACACTCAAGGTCTTATGAGAGTGCGTGGTGACGAAGATCGCAAAAGGGAATTCGTATCTTCGGATAGGTTTCGAGACGGAGTCCATTGCGCGCTATCTCCTGGCCCGGATTCACAAACTCCCAGACAGAAGAGAAAGAGAGAGAGAGAGAGAAGTTGTGAATGCGGTAGTGCGTCCGTATTGGTTACTTACGTCCCGTAATAGGGTGCAGAAGTGTCGGGTGCGTGGCTGCGGCAGGAGGAGACTGTTGTTTCGGTTTGCTAACCTTTGTGTTGCTCTTGGCAAACTCCAGCCGAATCGTCTGCGGCAGATCGGGGTCGAACCGGACACCCTGCTGCAACAGCAAGAGGGCAAGAGATACGGCGCCGCTCTGTCACCAACTCTGAACAACGACAAAGACAACCGCAAGGTGATTCCCCTGGCGGGAAAACTAAAGCAGGGTCACACTGCTCAGACATCACACAAAATGCAATCTGCACACAGATTCGAACGCGAGTCACCGCGAGATCTGTGCTTTGAATGCCGCCTGGCAATGAGTTTAAGGATAAACTTGGCACGCGGCATACAAACCACGGATATAACGGTGATTCCTGTTTGCAGACTGTCTTTTGTATGATGAATGAGCAGTGTGACCCCGGCTTAACCGTAACCAAAAAGGATATGGCAAAAACAGAGTGACAAAAAAAGAAGCGTACACTTCTCTCAAAAGACTCGGAAGTTGCGGCGCGCGCGTACTTTTTCAGTTTGGTCCTCAACCCTGCTAACAACACAGCTTTCCCCCTCGCCTCCTCACTGCCGTCCCCTACTGATTTTAAGGGTACTAAATTTGGAAGTGTGATTACCAAGCCCGAATCCCCATGAGAAGTCGTAATGTCGTAGTAGTCGTACCTACGGGACAAAAAGCTGTAGCGGCTGTTGTGAAGACGCTTTTTTAAATGTCAAGGTTTTCTATAAACGGCTGGTTGGTGGGTGCTCTTAGGACGTAGAAATGCCTGCATAGGCAGTGGCAGGAACCTAATTTCTGCGCCGCTGTTCGTTAACGTACGCGGAAGCTGAGGCTCAAGCAAACTCTGAACTTGGCATAACTTGTCAAACTTGGTGTATGTGTAACGCGTCTACGCCACGCACATTAGTGGACGGTCCGGGTTAATATACACTACCTTAGTACACTCCACTGTGACGTTGGAAACGAAGGGAACACGGGATCTCTAGAGAAGTGAGTCAAATAAAAGATATTGGTCCTCCCAAACTGAAGAGGCGCCGCAGTTGAGGGAGAAGTGCACACGGGGGGCCCCTGACGGACCTTGCAGTTTCCCCGTTTCAGCGGAGCCACGCACTCTGTAATGGCCAGTCGAACGGGCGCTCGGTTGCACCCGGACGAGGTTCATTAGTCGACGGCGTCTATATTCCGTTGCATAATTGAAGCACTCATTAAACATGCGAAAATAACTTCTCCGGTAGGAAACGTTAATGAGGGATGGAGACTCTCCCTTGGCGTCCAAGCGGCCTTCCCCTCCCGGCCACGGGCTAACTTAAGTAAGTGAGCGAGCGAGATCGGAGTCCCATGCGGCGCTCTGCGTCGCGTACCTGTTAGGAAATAAAGTTTGTAGAACTGACTCCCTCTACTGCAAGAGAGAAGACGAACTTACGTTATCGGACGCGTGAGCCTTGCTGGATAAAGAACAAATAACATTAGTACGAATATTAAAAAAAAATAAACAGTACAAAATTGGTTGTTATTGGAAGGCGCGCTCAAATAACGTAGTCGTAATTATTAATTAGGCATCAGCGTATTAAGTGTGGTTTAAGGATGAAATGGATGTTTGACTGCATTCCACGAAAGAGCAAGGCTTATTTCACTCATTATCAGCGACGAGCAACAGAACCTGGCGAAGAGGCATCTTATCGAATGTTCTTTAGTATATAAAATTTCAAATTTTAGTCCAAAGGGTCCTAGCCAGGTGACATTGAAGCTGTACTCCAGCGCAAGAAAGACTTAAACGAGGACGGGTAGGGGAGAACGTGGGATAGACGTTACAAAACCGGCGTTGAAAAGTGTTATTTATCTTTGTGGCCAGTGTAAACATTTATCTGTATAAAAACAAATTTCCCGCATCCTCGACAGCACTGCTTTTGTTTACTTTCTCGGGGCTGCTATGGTAATCACCGAAAAGTAACGTTCAAAAGAAATTACGTTAGTGGGTGAAGCCCTTGAAAGAGCAAACGGCGATTGTGTATAGACGATGCGAAAGACAGGCAGGGCTCCCAAAGCCTTCAGTACATCTTTTTGTGTATCCTTGCATTACATAGCCTTGCAGAGCTTTCTTATGTGTCAAGTTATTCGATAGGGCTACAACCTTTTTGTGTGTTTTCTTTTCGGTTCGCCTTCTTCTATTTGTGCGTTTGAGCGATATTGGCACATTATTTGTCCAAATATTGATGGCATTCCACGCAGACTTCTGCACGTTACTCGAAAATTGTAATAGATTACAATTACAAATTACCGAGCCACAAATGTGATATATTGGTGTTACGAATTACTTTCGTTGACAAGTAGCGGGCTACTTCACCTCGTTACGTTACAACTACTTTCTCGTTATTTTTCCCGTACTAGTATCAAGAACACAACAGAAAGAATTTTGATGTTTTCAACAATGTTCTGCAACACTACTTTTCATTTCTCATGCTCTCGCATTATGGTGGTCAGTGTAAAAATAAAATATTGTATTTAAGAAAAAGGATATACGGCAGGTGCACTCCGTCCACCTGTAAACTGATAAGGCAGCGAAAGCTGCAACCATACATGCAATTCTACTAAGTTACGGCGACGAAAAATGATCCCGGAAATTCTGCAGACAAAGCTAGCGGTGGGCATGTTCAGTAGCAGCGCTTTCCTCCGCAAGAAGACCAAAAGTACAACGCGTACTCGGTGTTGTCTTCTTGACCTTTGCTTTTCGAATATTCGTATAGTTTGCCTTGAACGTTTTTCTAGTGGGTAGAGACCGGTCACCACAGAAAATCGTGTCTTTTTTTTGGTTATTCTCCTCTTCATGATCTGTTTTATTTTGTTGAACTTGTTATCTTTATGCTGCTCAATTGCCTGCTCATTTGCTCCAGTTTTTGTGTTATGATCATATTTTTTAAAAAGAAGTAGCGAGTAAATAAAGTAATTCGTTACCAAGATTTATAACGAAATTACATTACCACTGCTGCCGCAACAAAAAATAAAGTGTCAGTTACAAACAGACTTGAAAAAGTGCATATTATAAGTAATCCGTTACTTGTAACGGATTACTTTTCAAGTCTAATTACACGTAAGGAATGCTATGAGAAATCCTGGATAGCTTGCTTCCAGTTACTATTGCACTAAACCAGCGAAAGTGCCACTCTTGAAGAGTAAAGCGTCTCTTCTATATTTTTTTGCTCCCCTGGTTCAACAGGTTTCTATTCTTTTTTTTTTCCTTTTTTTTCAAGACATAAGTTACTAAATTGATTCTGAGAGTAAAAAAAACCGAGCTGACTAAACAGAACATAGAATGTTTATGTGCGTGTGCAAGTAAGATAATGACGGTGTGAAATAAATATGGACAACACAGGTATATGAAAGCTACAACATGTATGTACACGATATCGTAAAGGCTTATACATGCCTTCATTTTCATTAGCACACCAAAAGCTTGCCGAAACGTTCTCAGCTGCTCCTGTCCCACGACACATCTATATCTCAAACTATTTGTATTCTAAACCAACTACTTTGAACACGAAGCTCTATTGCTTGCTCAGTCTAGTCACTCAGATAGTTTCACGAACATAAAATGCTTCCCCTACTCACTTTAGGTTCGTGTTTGCGAAGTTGCTAGCCTCGACGTCTGCTACGCTAGTTAATTTTGAAATTGCCATCGCGATAAAAATAGGTCAAACATATTTCTGTGAATTATCAACTCAACCAAACTTGTACTAAACACCCGACAGCGTTGTGCCATTAAAAAAAAAGTTGTGTGTGTGTGTGCGCGCAAAGGGGGGGGGGGGGGGAGGGGGTAAATAAATATAGATTGTGATATTTTGATATTTCTTCAAGTAGAAATCAGAACAGCTGTGCGCCAGGGGAAGGTTCACTGCCCCTTCGGGTTTTATACGCTCAACACGCGTGCCTCAGATCATGATCGCTGATCGCAGCCCTTGACTTTCGAAACTGTGATTACACAGCGATTAAATAACCGGTATTACATATATAAATACAAATCAAAGAAAGCGACGCTTCTTTTTATTCACAGGACCACCTTCTCACCTTCCTCTCCTAAAAAAACCTGGGATCCGTCAGAGCTCTCCCCGAACCCCTAGTGTGCTCTAATCTGTCAAACCCCTAAAATGAAGAATCCCACCTTTCTACAAGGGCAACGGTTAAATCGCGCCCTTCTCGGAAGATGGCGCCACGGCACAAAGCTGTAGGCATGAGAGCCTAGATAGAAGAGAGGGAGCAACTCAAACCACGGAGAGCGTTTTGCAATTCAATGTCGAGGGCTTCCTGGGCATATTGGTCCCAAGTGGGCATGCGCCGCGTTGTCGTGTGGTGACAAGGAAAGCGGGCGCAGAAGCGGACATGCTCACAGACGGTCAACGTTTTTACCACATCCTCGCAGCTTGTACTACAAACGCGGACCATAAACCCCACATCGAGCAGATGGAAACACTCTAAAATCTAGACACACTAGTGTGATCGCACCATCTGGCGGAATTTTCGCTAGGCGGGTGCCTACAATAAGCACCAGAGGGCGACAGGCGTCAGACAAGTGCAAATGAAAGAGACGAGAAGGGGAAAGTAAGAGAGAGAGAGAAAGAGTGGGAAAGGGGTTCGTAAAGACAGAGGGAGGGAGACCACTTTTTTCTGAGCCAGCGCGAGCACGTGGCTGCGCGATGGGAGCCGGGGAAAAATCGAAGTGCACCAGGTATCACGCTGGAAGTCATTCATTTTCGTTCAGCAGGATCGCCTTAGTGCAGGTAAAAGGAAACGAGCAAGGCACGACAGAAAATGGAAGCGGCTGATTTACGGCGGTGTCAACGTTTTCCACCCTCCCCTGCATTGCTGACTTTCTTCCATTTTTTTTTTTCTTTTTTACACTGGCTTTTAAAAGGGTGGAGAAATAACGGTGGTTTCGTTCCCGTTTTTCTAGTTTTTTTTTTAGCTACCAGACGTTCGTGTTTGGACTGTTTCTACTTTAGCGCGATACCTGCCAGACGTTCTGAGGTGCAGCAGCGAGAAGGTACGCTGGATCTTGTTCAGGCGCGTCGCTGGGGGAACCCGGGGCGGGAGAGAACGCGCCGCTCTTCCGCTATGCTTCGAACCGCGTTCCCTCCTGTTATCTTCGTCCATGCGGTGACAGTGAAATATCCGGGTACCCGCCGCCGCACGCGCACGCTTCGTCTTGACTCGCGAGCGGCAATGCGGCAAGGGAACAAATATGCGGTTCGCTCCAGCGATCAGCTCACGCCGCGATGAGCCCGGGAAAAAATAGACGAGAAGGAACGAACTGCAGCTCAGGATATACTCACTTTGTGTGAGGCTATAATTTGCTTTTCGTCTTTCGTTTTTTATTTATTTTTATTTACATAAGCAGGCTAAACTCTAGAGATCACTTTTTTTCGTCTAGTGTCTCGTTTCGCACTTCTCTGCACTATGAGACTCTCGATTTCGAAAGGATTAATCCAGCTGCAGCAAGATACAACGACTCAGTTCTCTGTGGCTAAGACGCCATTCGTAACCTCGCAGAATGCAAGGGAGTGATTAGTCCTCGTAAGAGGCTAGGGATGAAGTCAAATTTGGGACTTTTATGTGCTAAACCAACGACGGCCATTTAATTGACACGCCCCAGCGCAGGTCTGAGGATTAAAGGATTAATTTCATACCACTCGGGGTTCTTTTCACGACCCTACAAAACCCGATTACACGGCACCTTCTTAGCAATAGGCCTCCTTGATATTACGGGCACTTCGGCCGGGATTCCAACCTGCCACCTGGAGATACGTTGGCCAGCGCTTTGCCGTGGAGCGTTGAAAGTCGTCTAGACTAGAGACGACACCGTGCTATTCTTTTAAAACCCTAATTCACAGACCTCTCATCTTATACTCTCAATATTTTTAATTTGAAGTATTCTTCGCGAAGTTATCTTTTTTCTTTCTTTTTTTTCTGGTACCTGTGAATAATCATGTAAATCACATACCCGGGGCTGAGGTGAGAAGCCGTAGTGGAGTTTCACACTTTTTTCCTTCACTGAGCATACACGGCCTGAACTCTGTACCTTACCCGAACGTAACCTCAACGGAAACACGGGGAGCCAAGATTTTAAAAATCAGACGCGATATCGTCACGTCCAGCATTTTTATACCTCGCCGGATTCCTGCGACGGAAGCAAAAAAAAAAACGGTTACTTGGCACCTCGACTTACAAACCACTAGAGTGATGATGACGACAATTTACGCCGACGTCATCACCACTCTAGCGGTTTCACCCGGTGTCATGTGAAACCACGCTGCCACAGCTACGGTCACAAGCCCTTGGCGTTGTGGAGAGTCTTGCGCGAGGGAGTTGTTGGATCAAGCTGCGTGCACGCACCAGTAGCTTCCACAGCGTCATGCGATATGAAAGATTTTCAAAAGCAGCACCACCTTAGCTTGATGTCAGGAGCATGAATTTCTGTATAGAGAATCACTCTGGGTAAGCAGCTCCTCGTGGAAGCTAGCGAAAATTCTTGTCCCTTTGACAGGACAGCTGGTGTCATCTGGGATCCGCGGTGCCAAATAACCGGCTTACATCGTGGCCTCTGAAATACGGCGCGCGTTGGATCTCGGAGGCCATGCTTACATCTGCCGCCGACAGAGGATGCAGCCCTTCCGATCAGATGTTCATAGAATTGCTCGTGAGCTACTCGCTGGGACTTCATTGCACTAAGGTGTAACATTTCGTCCTACTTTGATAGGCACTAATGGCAAATTGTACGTGAGCAAGTAGATGGCTTGGGCTGTTGGCTCCGTTTGCACAAGGGCTCGTACAGCCAAACTATTGTCAAACGCCGAGAGCTCGCGTTTATAGCCCTTGCGATTTGCCTATGTTAATTAAGGTGACAGCATGCAAAGCGTACCGCCGTGACTCCTTTATGCGGTGCAAACACAAACACACACACCTAAACGGCTTTCTGGATTTATGTAATCTTGTTTATCACAAGAAAAAGTATAGCTCCCAGGCTTTTTTTCAACGCAGTGTAATAAAGAGTTTAGTTGCGGTAGTGGTACACTCTGAAAATTCCTGCACGTCTACTTACCCGTAAAACACTCGAAGAGCCAATCTCTGCGATCTACGATATCAGCTCAGTGAATAAGGAGGCGGAACATCTGTTTAAACCACAAAATGAAGTCTGCTCGGTGGCATTACGCAATCCAAGCATTTTTTTTTTTTTTTTTTACAGTGTAGTAGCAATAACATTTTTTTAACTATCGCCACAATCCCTGGTTGGCTCGGATGTCCACCCCTGCCAGTATATATGAGCCCGCATGCTCCGTGGGAAGAAGTTGAAAGTCACCTGAAGTTCTTGTTTCGCGGCCTCGGCTCCCGCCCGAGAGGAGAATGTGACGAACCCCACGGGCTGGAAGGAAGAAAAAATAGAAAACGCTGTAGCATGAGGTTCGAACTGTCGTCTGGCACACTGTCCCTACGCGTACAAGCTGCTAAGATCCCGCAAACTGCAAAACGATTCTTTACAGCCGAGAACACTAAAACCTTAATACTTGAATATAAGGTTGTCACATGCGAACGGATGAAATTTAAGACATGATTTCAGACTGCGGTGAAAAAGAGTAACTAGAAACAGGTTGTACTGCGCTAAAGGAAGGCAACAGAAGCTTCCTCGCTTTTCAGTTCTTCTTTCATTGCTACTATTTTTTTTTTAGCTTATACTCTATTTTACACCGGATCTGACCGCAACTGACGTGACGACCCGATACAGCCAATCAAGCAGCGGCAAAACTGCATCGTCATGGCGCTCGTTGTCGTCTTGAGTTTGCTTTGATCGGCTCCACCAATCACACGCAGTGAATGCGGCGCAATACTGCACGTTTTTCTGCTCGTGGTCTGCTTAGCCGGCGATAGTAAACACACAAACACAAGGAGCGCCGTTATACGATTAACTTTTAGAGCTGGTCGATTGGCTCCATTGGATCGCATGAGGAGCGCAGGTTCGTCTGCTCCTTTTGCACTAGCTGCGATGACGTCAGAACGCTGAGCTTTGATTGGCTGTGACTGACGGATAGTGGGCAGACCTTGAGGCAGCTTGCTTTGAGGTCTACACTCTAAAAAAAGCCCGTACGTCTGCTTTCACGTACAGCACTCAGAGAGCCAATCACCGCAACTTACGGAGGCAGCTCAGCGAATGGCAATGCCGAAACATCTGTTTAGACCAAAAAAGGCAGACTGCATTGTGACATTAAGCAATGCAAGCGTGACGTTTCGCATTACTTAATGTCACAACTCAGACTGCGTTTTTTGCTCTAAACAGATGTTTCGGCATTGCCATTCGCTGAGCTGCCTCTGTAAGTTGCGGTGATTGGCTCTCTGAGTGCTGTGCGTGAGAGCAGATGCACGGGCTTTTTTTTAGAGTGTAGACCTCAAAGCAAGCTGCCTCGAGGTCTGTCCACTATCCGTCAGTCACAGCCAATCAAAGCTCAGCGTCTTCCTGACGTCACCACAACATCCTGCGCAAGAAGCAGACGACTTGCTCTCCGCACAGCGTTGACTGCGGTCGGACCTTGTTTAAAACAATGTATACAGACTCACGTTTAATGTCGACGATAGTTTTGAGACGTTTCTAGAAGTATAATGAATCATAATCTATTCGGAACACTAATCAGCGGTCTTTCTCGAATTAGTCTAACAGAAGAGAAGAAAGATCGGCTGCACGCTTGCCGTTGGAATAATTATGTATAATGCTTTATTTTGTCCCCACGTAAGTTATTGCGGCCTTGTTACGGGTACAACCACGGGAGTCAATATTGGTAAATTTTACAATCTTCGGAACAAAAAAAAAAAAAAAAAGTCTTGAGAGCTATCTACAATGCCCCTTATGATCAATTCTCACACTGAGACCATGATCAATAATTTTCGGAAAAATAAAAATTCGTAACTTACGTGATTATAGCATATATCCGTCAATATCAAAAACGAAATTGGAAAGGGAACTCCAATTCTAACGGAACTAGCTTCATCCGAATAAAATATACTAATTTACATGTCTCCAAACAGTCTATATTGGAAGATTCCCCCAACAGCTTTATAAATATAAACCTCGAATTATTCACCGATACGCATTCGCGCTCTTTTTTCTTGAATGTTCAAACACATAATGTGGACTTTATACTTACTTAAATATTGTTTTAGTTTCAATCCCGAAATACTGTGTTTGTGAGTGTAATGTGTACGCCTGCATAAAGTGATTTGTACCATTTGTACGAGGTTGGTGGCTTATGAAACTTATTAGAAAGCTACCAACCTCTATCAAATTCAGAAAAATAATATCGTCTTATATTTCAGTGAAAGCGTGACCATTAGTACGCGAACCCAACTTTATATTATAACTGTGCAAAAATAGAGAGAAAAAATGAAAAAAACCTGATCATGTTTAAAAGAATGAACCTACCTACCACTGCTGTTACAAGTCTCGACTGTCTTGCAGCAAATTAGGAATCTTCACATCACTTAAAAATCCAGTTACGCAATACTGCGACTAAGTAATCGAAAATTGGAGAGCGTTGGTGAGGGGCGAAAGTAACATTATTTGCGCGCAAGAAGCGAATGTATGCAAGCGAGCTGGTTGGGAAACATGATATTTTAAACACTAAGGCATGGTTAATTATGTTGCGTGTTCCTTTTTTTTTTTACTTCTTCGTGTTTTAAAGATTAGATCGTAAGGTTTTTCACGCTCGACTAGCACCCCCAGTACTCTCTTTGTGGCATTCAAAGGCCTCTGCCCTCGGATAATAAATATTATTCGTTAAAAGCGCTGGGACATTAGGTCGAGACACCACATTCAGTTATTTTTGTACAAAAACGCGTGTCTATTTCCAGAGAAAAGAAAAAAAGGAAACACGAAGCCAGAACAGGAGAGCACTGGGAAACGTGGCATCATAGAGATTCTATTATTCAGACCCTATTATTTTTATTAATGAAGACTAGGCGCATACGAACTTTTTCTTCTTAAATATTCCAAGTTTCAGGTCGTCATCACACGTGTTGAGTAGCGACCGAAAACCAGCACCTGCTTTCGATCGAGCCTCAGTTTTTTTATTTATTGATAGTTTGGGCCTTACCTTGTAGATAGAGTGCATGTAAACATCTATCGTCTGTGACATGTTAAGGGATCATGGGGCGCTCCTCCCAGCTCTTTCCACTTTAGCAGAGGGCGCGCTGGAAAGAAGGTTGATCACTCTTCAGCGCTCCATCTGCTCAAGTGGAAAGAGCTGGGAAGAGCTGCCCCTGAACTCGTAACCTGTCACAAACTGTAGGAATGCACTAACAAATCTTTAGAGGCCCCCTTAATGATATACATTCTTAAAACAAAGAAACTACCTGTCGTCTAAGCGGATTGAAAATGAAGAATTTCACAGGACTTACCGACGATGTCTTCCCGTTTTTCTGAGTAACTTTCAGCAACGACCCTTCATAACCCTGCAAGAGAAAAAAAGCACAATTATTCGTTTCAATACTTGCTACGGTGGGGCGTAAAGGGGGTAAAAACATGGAAGAAGGGAAACCACCGTCCCACCAACTTCGACGTCCGAAAATCGACTCACCTTATAGGCACGAAATAGTAGGTATAACTCCCTGGGTTTTGCGTCCATGGGTAAGCCGCTCACGAAGAGGGTGCGAACCTGCGCCGAAAAGTAAGGACAAGGAATGAATTGTCTTGCTTTGCGACAACAAAATTCACATGCGTTCAAGATGAAGATCAAAACGTCATGCATCCTTTTTTTGCTTTCCCAGCTTCCTAACATAAGGATAACTATTGTGGTAGTTTTCAGCGACGTCGATTCTGTCTCGCGGATTTATATCTGAACAGCGAACTAAAATCAGGAGCCGCAGAAACAGGCGGATGAACAGAACCGACTCGTCTATATTCGTATTCACCTTAAGAACCGTAGCTAAAAGAAGTCCTGATCCTCGCAGAACGGTATTGAATTTCCCCATCATATATTGAATTAACATATATGTAGATTTATGTTATTTTATGAAGACGTATACGCTTCAAACGTCAGAAAGATTGCTTCTTCTTTCGACAACTAAATCTACTAAGAACTACTTCGCTGAGCTCATTCGTAACGCGTATTTCTATTTTTATGTGACAACGAGCATAACTTTCTCTGTCGGATCGACATACTGACCGCGTGCCGGAAGAAATGCAAAACAGTTAAAAGATAATGCGTGTTTGATGTTCGAATAAGGTCGTTCCGAAAACACCTTTCGTGTACTTATTTCCCAATGACAGCAATTTACGCGAACTTAGCACACGGATTGGCAGGCGTGAAACCAGGCTTCAGCTTTGAGAGAAACTACACATTTGTGTTTTGTCCATGCGACGTTACCATGACAAGTATCACAACCTGCAATTTTGGATTAATTTCCTTCCATGTACATAAAAAGCAGACGAATAGAGCGATTTGGGTGACCTTCGCACGCATCAGAGACACTCGAAAGTGCGACTAGAATATAGAAATTGTAGTATCGTTCAAACTTGGGCGAGTTGGTTCTGCATTTGTGCTAATTAAAAACAGCGCGAAGATGGACGAGGGGCGAGTAGATGCAGACAAGCAGCGCTCTGTGTGCATGCACTTACTCGTCTGTCGTCCATCTTCGCGCTGTTTTTAATTAGCATATATAGCCTGCAGGCCGACGTTCAAAGAGAGTCGCTGAGTAAACTTGCGACGAGAATGGTGTGCCATTTCCCACGCAACGGTTGCCAAAAATAAAATAGAAAACGCATTATTACCATGTGTGCTCCCGCTCAGCTGTGCAAACACATATGCATATCTCTTAAAGAAACTTTTGTGCGCGAAAGTCCCACGAGATAAACCTTTTTTTTTTTTTTTTTATGATCCGGAAATCACGAGTCAAGTCACAAAATTTCAATCGCACAATTACGAATAAGATCACAATGCAGGACGTTTGCGAACGAAGATTAAGTTGTAAAAAATATTTAAAAAAAAAACAAGAAATTGTATACGAGCACTAAGAAAGAAAGCTAAAAGTTCGTTTTCTTTCCAATGTTTACGCTGCTGACCCGCTTCCAAAACTGTTAATCCGGTCGTCGATTTTCTCAGAAAAAGCGTCTGTGTCTGCGTGAGCATTCCTACGCACAGACATTCAGCGGGAAAAGTACCGAGAGCGATAATGTATTCTATTGTGCGCTTTTCGCTTTTGTGGATGGACAAAGGCATCTCCTCGTACGTGACTTGGGGATCCGTCTGCCTTTGTGCGATACGGCCGATGCTGCAGTGACGAGACTGTCCGATGCGCGAACCTTTGGCATAACTGAGGCGATATTATCGTTCAGACGGTATTATTGCACAACTATTGACAATGAGAGGTCATACAAATTACTAGTTCAAAAAACTTTAAAACATCACGCATTATATTTCTTTTTTTTTTTCTTTTTTATAAAGTGGGCAAGAAGAAAATAACTTTTGTCGGAAACAACACTGTCCAGCGTTACAGGAAGAACTCAGCCAATTCTCGTACACAGAATGGTTTCTATCTGCCCTTCGGGAAGGCTTGAATGCACGGAATAACAAATTTATTCGCGAGTTTGAGTATAGCGTATGCAAAAGTCTAGGATCAAAAAATCCAAAACGCTCTATTAGCGAGTTTTCGAATCGTAAAGGTTTTCCGTACTAAAAAAAAAAAATGGCGTCGTCGCCGCTTTCGATTGGCGCGTTGTTGAGGACGCTATTTCTCTGAGTACGCAAAGGTTTTGTTTACACATTTATTTAACGTCGGCGCCATGCACCAAATCAAAACGAGTTCGCGATCGGCGCATTCGCAGTTGTGACGATTTTATCCCTGCGTACGCAAAGTTTTTGGCTACGCTGTTCAAAAACTCTATTATCTAACGCTTTATTTTATTTATTTTTCACGAGATGAAGTTCACGCTCTGTCATACAAATCTGACGTGGAGGGCTCAGAAAAGACAAAAAAAAAATTAAAAAGAAACAAACTTGTTTTTTGTTGTTGTTTTTTTCATAAAAAGCGAAAAACAGCAAACAGAAAAAGGCCGAGACCCAAATAATTTCAATTATTAGCGAACCTGTAATGCAAATATCTTCGACATAAAGTAAAATTGACATATACACAGTACGTCAACACCAATAATAATTAATAGTACGTCATTTCATCCACAGTTGGAAAACTAAACAAACTAAACCATCTTATATTCCCTAGTTCATTAAAAGGAAAAGAATCGGTGAGGAAACGGAGCAGGATGAGATGGGAGAAAACACAAGCACTTGTGGTTGCCTGCTGCCTGTATCCGTTGTCAAACTGTTTGCTTTGCCCTAAAAACATACACCAAAGTTCTGCTGTTCAGTATGAATTGAGTGGCAGTATGGCTATAAATGTTAAAAGTACATCAAAATAAAGCTTCAAAAGCTTTAAAACAGAGGAATGGTAACTTAGTTCTGCTTGAGATTTGTTCTGTAGTGTGTGCATGCACGTGAAGAACCAAGTTTATTTAATGTCATCCATCGTATATTTTTCGCTTAATACATTGTCACGCCCTAAGTCAACGACAACAATGGGACTTCTAGAACACGCCATCGAGATTCCCCGTCTGCTCCACCTTATACACACGTTTGTATAATATAACGTCATAATCTCCGAACGCTTCCTGCAAGTTAACCGTTATAGTAACCAAAATAAATCATTAAGTATGATGAAACGAATCGCTATTTCCACGTGCGTAGTCAAAGATATGCTAATTTGACAAAGCTTTCCTAAAAACTTTTGCCGTTGTTGATCTATGTCAATATCTTTCAAAAGATTGCCGGATTACTGTGGCAGAGGCAAATTTCCAAATGTTTCCAAAAGATCCCGAGAAACAAATTCCGGCTTGTAAATTTTTGGAATATTTGCACCTCTATAGACGTTTACAAGTTCGGCATCTGGGCGCCGCCATCTTGCTGTTGGTGTGAGTAGATCGTCTGATAGTCAAGCACTGCGTAGGCCGTGGGCACGCCTCAGAAATGCTTGACTACCAGACTATCTACCCATAACAGAACCAAGATGGCCGCGCTCAGAGGCCGTACTTGCAAACACCTCACAATGCTCCCCTGTTTGATAAAGCAGGAGGGCCGGTATAGAGAAACAGGAATGGGCCCTAGTGTGTTACTTTAGAAGTTTTTTGTTTTTTTTTTTTTTTTTTCAAAAACGTGCCCGGGCAGCCATTTTGTTAGCACTTTCGGCAACACCTCCTCGACAAGGAAGCCTAAGTGCTGAAGTTTTTCGCGTCACTCAAAGAGGCGAGCGTAGGGTGCAGCTTGGACACGACTGCGATGTCATCGTTCTGCTGGGACTCGGGTTGCCGCTGATTAAACACAGGTTCCTGCCGAACGTTGACGTAGCACTCGTGCGCAATCAGTGCACTATACGTTCGCCTCTTCGACTGGCGCAGGCAAATTCAGCACTTGGGCTGTTTTGTGTAGGAGGTGCTGCTTGGAGGCCAGACAGGCACATAATGTACCGCGCAAACTCGATTGAATTCACGTGGATGTAATGATCATTTTTTTGTTCCACGAATCCGAAAAACCTAAACTAAAGTGACAATTCTTTCTTCATTGGCACGCGAGGAATTTGAAGCAAAAGCGACTACTTTGTAGCTGGGAAAATAAAAGAACGAACTTTGCGGGGGGTGGGGACCGATAGCGGCTCCCGAGATATTTCATTCGAAACAAACAAGAAATTCGAAAAAATTACTTGCCGATCACAAGCTCAGGTTCCATCACTCAAGGCTTCTCGCGTGTTGCCAGCCTGTCGGGTGACCGCTACGACTCGCAACTGCCAAAGCGTTCTTACCAACTAAAATCCACGGTTCTTCTGTGTTACAAACAATCTCTAAAAAAAGCAAGTTATTGTTTTAAGCTAGAAATTTGAAAGCGGCTAGATGCAGCCAATGAAACGTCACAACAGGCCGTCAGACATTCCATATTCCTTAATGGTGCGTGGTGCACATTTACCGTGTCCGTTTTGTATTTTGGGTCTGTACTTTTGGACCCCTCGATTTCTGGCCGGTAACGTCCCCAATGCGGAAGGCTGCAACCGGAAGTAAGTATGATTTGGATTAGTCATCCGGCGCGCTGGGTAGCGAACTGCAGTACTGCCCTTTCGTAAAACTGTTCTCCGACACCCGAATACTGTCCCGACACCCGAATAATGGCAATTCAAGAGCGCAGCCCGCAAGGTGTGAGCAGAGAAAGGGAAACGTTGGCGGGCGTCCTCCTCGCGGTGCTCCTTCCTTCGTCGGGGTCCTTCTTAATCCCTCCGCGAGAGAAAAGGCGCCGACGAGGGGAACGAACCCAGGTGCTCCTAAAAAGATTGCCCTACAAGCGATCAATAAGAAACAAGCCGTCACCGCAGAGGCAACACGGCGCCAGGTGTGTCGCCCTCCCCCTTTTCGAGCCGGGGTCCCCCGCTTCGTGCGTCCGGAGGGAGACACGCGAGGACAGGCCCCCGGTTGCTAGGGGACCGACCACGCCGCTGACAAACACTCACGTGTCCCGCCGTCAGTCCAGTCACCCCCCCTCTCCCGCCCGGGCCCCAGATGAGAGTGTAACGGATGCTTTGGTTTCGCGGTACAAATGAACGGTCAATGTTTCAAGTCAGGTG